ACAACCTCCCCGTCGGTTGTGCATATGATTTCTTGTCCATAACTACTTATGTTATTATTATTATTATTTGATTTTTTCCTTTTGTTTTTTTTTTTTTTTTTTTAAGGTTAGATCATGCTCATGTTAATACATGTATTTCCAAATTAATGGAGGGTCCTTGCACTCAGCTCCTCATTGGTGGTAAGTGCAATTTTTCAAAAACATAAATTAAAAGTAAAAAAAAAAAAAATCACTTCACACCAATGAAGTGCCACTTGCAGGTGCTAAAATTTCTCTTATAAATTTCTTCGTTCATTCAACTTTAATTGATAAAACTAGTTTTTAATATAATTTTAATTTCAATTATTAATAACTCAACTTGATTAAAAATAATAATAATAATAATAAACCCAATAATTTCTCTTTCTATATCTCAATTCAATTGATTCAACAACTTCAATTTCAAATTACTTCAACAACTTCAATTCAATTGTTAAAATTGTTCACAATGTCACTTCCTCAAACTTGCATGGCATAGTGTTTTCAACAAAATCCACAATTTTGCATAGAACATTGCCTGCCAAAGCTTCATTGAAACATTAGAGGAAAAAAACATACTAAAAGAGAGATACGAATTATTAAAATTTTTTATACGAGTGATGTCTGTAATCAGATCTTAACTCAAAAAAAAATCATAAATTCAAATAATTCAACCCAATACCTTAATCAGAATGACCTTGGTTCTTGTATCATTATCAACTATGACCCTGCAAAATCACATCATCAAAGGGAAAGAAAACCAGGTACCCAGATTGCAAAAACCTTCACTACCTTCATTTCTACTCAGAAAATAGAAATCCAAGAGAGCCAAGAACCCATTTCAATTAACAAAAATAAGACTGGAAATAACATAAACTGGATGCCCCAATTAACATTAGAAAATAAACCAAAAGAACAGAGAACAAAGAGAAATGAAGAACCTTGGAACCAAAATATGTAGAAGATTCCTATTAACTAAAAACACTCTTAAGAATATTTTGCTGCTAATTTAAGTTTAGATAAGGGTGTAAGAGTTTTTGAAATAGTGATAAGAGAAAGGATCTTCATTACCTTTCTCAATTCCATGCATTCAAAACGAACTAATCTAGTACAAACAAAAAGTTACTAAGAGGCGAAAATCCAACTAGTGACAACAACTGAATCATGGTCAGTATATAGAGTGAAATCAAAGCAAAACCTAAAACTCTCAAATCTTAAAAATTTAAGAATTGAAGTAACAAAAAAAATTTGAAAATCCAAAAGACCAGTAAACAAATAGATCTGCAAGCATTTCAGACAAGTTTAGGCAAACAACAAGACACAAATCATAAGCAAAAAAAAAAAAAAAACATAAATGCCCTTTCTTAACAAACTCCTTACCACATTGATAAAACAGAAAAGAAAATTGACAAATGAAAACAAAATAACTTAATTAATGATGAGGGAGGGACCATTCTCTGCTTGAAAATACCATAGATCAAGCATCAGAGTCTCCCCAGTCTCACCTTCTCTGCCAAGCCTCCAGATATGAAGTGTGTGCGGCCTCTTCCCCTTCAAAACCATCATCCATCCATCCATCCATCTAAACTTAAAAAACCAAGCCAAAGAAAAAAAAAAAGAGCAGGGAAAATGGATTTTGAAAACAAAAAATCTTGCTTGACATCTACTCAGTTGTCTAAAGACAAAAAAGAGAAGATGGATTGGAGAATATATCTCCTAAGTAGTTTGAAGAATTAAAAGAATCAATGGACTCGTTTAAAGGGCCTGGAAGAAATAGAAAAATATGATTTTAAGTAGAAAATTATCATACACAGCAGAGAACTCA